ACGACCAGTAAATACCGGTTAGCGATCATAGTATGCTGGTAAATATATATTTTTTCCTATCTATTCGCTGGTAGCCTAAGGGGCTATACCAGCTACTCTCGGTAGGATAGGTGAGTTGACGGACTCAGCCTGAGAGAGTTTGCTAACACTAGCCCTAGCAAAAGCTTTGCTTCGCAGAATCTATCATCGGATCGGAATTGCGACTCACTGAGTAGTTCCGGCGAGAAATTCGGTGGGCTGTATCTGTGGGTTAATTCGCTCGTCGAGCCCTTCGTCGCAAGCGATGGGTTCGACGAGGACGGTAGCCGGTGCTTGTGGTACCTAAAAGCACCGTTAATGGATCGGGAGCATCCGTAATGACGTGTTTTGGGCGACGTCGACATATATCACATTATAAAAAAAGACCGTTACATGCGAATTATTTAATAAAGACTACGAATTGCAAGAATATGAATATAAAGAACATTATGCTAATATTGATAATTATTTTTTTACGCAATATAATACAATTGTTGAAGTTAATATGCCATAAAATTATTGGTTAAAAAAATTAAGTACCAAGATTACGGTAGATAATTAATAATATTAATTGTTATATTTTAGTAGTATCTCTCAAGTCATACTGCGTGTCGTGTTCGTTTTTTTTCTTTTCTTTTTCAGAAACCAGTTTTTTATTTGTTATCTTGAGATTCATTCTAGTTTGAAATCAACATGTACGATCGTACGAAATTTTATCAGTTAATGACTTCATTAAATTTAACAAATAGTATAATTTTATTACATTATTTATCCAGTCATGGCGCTTTCAAAGCATGAAATGTAAAATAATTCAAGAGCGAAGCTTTATATAAAAACGAAAGAAAGTGACCGCACACAAAAGCTGTTACATCCTTCAATTAACTCCGATTTCACACCCTTTCACGAACCGAAAAATCGAAGCCCAAACATTAGTTTAACCGAAATTATAGAAAATCAACAAAAACTTGCGACAAAAAGCGGAGCCGAGGGCTGGTGTTGGGCATAGCGGCGATCGATAATGGTCTCGCAACTTCGGGTACTCCACCGAGCTAATTTACTACTTTAATGTAAGCAATATGAAATGTCTTGTGTTTGCCGAATACCATCTGTTGGGCAGGTAATCGGCTGTTGATGTTATGTGTCCGCTATCTAGCAAATAATTTTATAACTAGCTGCACCAGGCCACGCGTTGCTGTGACTTTATATGGGCAAATGGATTAATTATTACTCGTATTATATTGGGTCGCAACTTGGCGTCGCTCGGTGGAGCAGGAGCCAAGTGTCTTGGGCATGACGTGGGAGTAGCTAGAACAGACTGCCCAAGGCCGATGTAAATGGAAGGATTTGATTCGAGCCCTACACCCCAATAGAGGGTAATAGGAAAGAATGATGATTATATTGGGTATATAAAACTCGTATTCGAAGGCACCTTGTGTCAAAATCTGAAAGCGATCGACTATTTGAGTCTTATTATTTTAAAGAAACGAACTTTGATATTTTAATTTATATAATAAATTAATTAGAGATTTATGATGACGTATACAAATTTTATTAGATAAATATTCGTACTATTTCTCTCAAAAAAAGATGAGCTAAGCGTAAAGACTTCAAATTGGCGGAAAAGATCCGGTTACTTGAATCATCAATTTAAAAAAAAAAGTAAATCAATTCGAAAAACACTAATCTCTAAACGAAACGAGGCTAAAGAGTCTTATTCAATATCATCACGTTCAGATTTTGTATAAGGGCTTTCGATTATTAAAAATGGATAGTCGATCAATAGAAAATTAATATATAGTTTGTTTTTAGCTACCGTAGTTTTTATGGGCTCGGCCGAAGGCGGCAGCCGCCTAATTACAAACGTTTGTTTTTGGAATAGCCGCCCCAGGTACAAGCGGCGATATAACTCCCTAATTATTTTTTATTTGTTAAACTGACTTACTAGACGCCGAAAGTGGTTCTGAGTGATTTAAAATCAACCATTAGTGCCTTATTTTGTGTAATGAGTGCAGTTGTTTTTGAGCTTGAATTAATTAAGACACGTACTAAATAATATTTATTCGGTATTTATGAGGTAATATAAGATGTCTAAGACACTTCTTATTACAATCGTAAATGTATCTAATGTTTATATAATTACAGATCTTTTTATGCTGCCGCTCTCCAATTTAAATCAAATTCTAATGGATATTCTAAGGTTGACCGAAATCTAACGGCTGCCAGAGGCCACAGATCCAATCCGAGTGGTCGCAGTCTCAATTTTCTTGGAATAGTTACTGTACTAAGCAAGATAGTAGCACCGAACTACCTATTGATCGAGAATACTTTAATATACAAGTGAATCAGGTAATTTTTGCCCTATCCTGAAAATTAAATTAAATAACAGAATCTTTATTGCAAGGCTACCAGCTGGGTTCAATTGTAAATTCATATCAAATAAACAATTCAGATAACTAATCAAGTATACCAACAAACTTATAATGAGTACGTCGGCTTAGGAAGGATTTAAGAATAATATCATGACAAACATTCGTACAGAATATACATATATGTAGAGTATATATATACATCCACAAAGATACTGTTCGAAGCAATGGGTCTTTATGGGATAACAAACTGACTGTTCCACTGAAGCTACATTTGTAGAACATTGCAGTTTTAGATCGTGATTAAAAAGAAGTATATTTTAATATGCGTAAAATGAGTGTGTACCAGGTTGTGTGCGCCAGTAGCAGTTACATTTCGATCCCACTGACTCAGCATCGCTTTGTGTGAGTCGCCGACACTCTCACGATGCTAACTATTGGTTTGTTCCAAGTCAACAGCGTCAAACCTTACTTTTATAAATTAACAAAATGGTAAAATAGAAAAATTGCGAAAATAGTTATTCTTTTTTTATTTATTGCTTAGATGGATGGACTAGCTCACAGCCCACCTGGCGTGGAGTAGTTATTGGAGCCCATAGACATCTACGACGTGAATGCGCCATCCACCTTGAGATATAACTTCTAAGGTCTCAGTATAGCTACAACGGCTGCCCCACCCTTCAAACCTAAACGCATTACTGCTTTACGACAGAAACAGGCAGGGTGGTGGTACCTACCAGTGGTGGTACTTTAGACTAACATAACGATTTGATAGCTTTTGTGAGCAATTTTATCTCGAAGAAACGCAAAACAATTAAATAATAATTCAAATGACTCGTAAGTTGCACAAAAAATTAACATTAGCATTTTAGTTTTTATCTTTTTCTTGTCGGAGTACAAAATAAATTAAAATTAAACATGCTAATGTTTAAATGATCTACAAGACTAATTTACTAAGAAAAAAAAAGGAACTATGCCGTTAGAATAATTTATCATCTCTTAACTATTTGAAAAATATGATTTTGCATTGGTGTTTTTTTAGATTCCATTAGAGTAATACGGGTATATCACTTGATTTTAAAACAAAGTAGGTATTCCGAGTTAAACTTTATTGAAACTTGACTGCATGATACCGAAAGTACCTAAATAACTAACTAGTAAGAGTAACTAAATAATGGAATAATATTATTATGTAAAATTTAAAGTACTTATTATTACAAATCACTTTTGTCTTGTTCAATCAAGATTATTATTAAGTGGTAACTCGATTCCAGATAAAATACTATGTGAATGTCGCTACCTTGAAGCACGTGTTCGAAGTCACAACTTTATTTTGCTTAAATAAGTAGACGAGCTCATGGTCCACTTGGTGTTAAGTGGTTAAGCCCATAGATATCAACAACTTAAATACCGCCAACCACTTTGAGATAAAAGTTCGAAGTTTCAGTTTTACACCACAATTGTCATCTTACACTTCGAACAGGAAGGCGTCATTGATTTACGGCAGAAATAGGCAGAATGATGGTACTTACCTACTGTGTGTGGGCTCACAAGACGCTCTCCTACCACAAAAACTAGAACTGTATTGTCGATTATCCCGCTCTTAAAATAGCAACGTACATATTGTGTACGCATCGCGGTTGAAATACGGTGATGGTAACAACCCGCTAATAAATGTCAACGAGTACTTGCGCAATATTCGTAAAATTTGCAATCTATTTCTTAAAATTCGATGTTAGTCTCCTCAATGTGGAAGTTTTTCATGCACAAATGATAGATACGTTTTCCATTGAAAATTTGGTACCAGCGATATTGACTATCTGGCAGTAGTAGTAGAAAACAATTGCCATTGCCTCCATGGAAGCTGAAATTGTAGCAGTCAATGAAGCTACCAGAGAAATCGTTTGGCTTTGAAATATAATAATAGACATAACTATCGAAGAATACCAAGCGTGTCTTAGTATGAATAAATCAGTCCACAATAGAAAAGTCGTATCGGTTCGAACACCGTGCGATTTATCGTGTCGGTCACGACAACTTTAGTTAACCATGAATTCATTTTCAACTTGGACCAAACATCAAAATATAGTTAATTGTTTTCTTACACGGTTGTTCTTGTTGTTTATTTTTTAATCCTATTACAGTACGTGGTAATCGTAATACGTTTTCCACTATTGTATTCATTTATTTAGTTCAAATTAATTATTATGTAAATTATTATTTTGTGAGTTTTGCGAAAATAATAAGCTCTCTCATTGTGCTATAGTAACTTGAGTTTATGTAAAATTAATTAATATTATATAGTTTTAGTTTATGTTCGTGTGAACGTTATAAAATCACATGTCTTTGTGATTTGGAACTGGTTTTATTATATCTATAAACAAACTGGTTGGCAGCAAGATGAGAAGGAAAGATTTGCCTAGCATATCATTTATTCATTTGATGAACCGACAATCGACATGACATATAACATATGGACCCGCCCACCTGTCCTGGTGAAACTGGAAAGGCCTCTGGGCCAACAGTAATCCCTCATTCATAAAAAAAACATGGACTTCAAAAGTTGACCAATTTGATTGGTCGAGTAATTTTCATTTAAATCTTGAAAGCACTCACCGTCGGTTCTGGTACCAAGTTTTGACCTGGGTGTCGGTCAGTCCCAGTTTCGCAGCCAACTCCATTCGATCCTGTACGCTGAGGTACTTTTGTCGTTCGAAGGACTTCTCAAGGGTCTGTAGTTGATGGTCGGTAAATGCTGTACGCGCTTTCCTCTGCTTCTTCGCCAGACCAGACCCGTCACCTCCGCAGCTCTTACTCGACACGTCATCAGAATCATCTTTCACACCTGGACAAAATACAGTTTCATTTTAATTAACGACTATTATAAGGTAAATTAACTTCTAACGAGTTAAAAAAGCATCAGCCAAGTTAATTAAATAAAATAAAACTCATTAATTCCAGTTAATTTTAAATGGACAAGTTATGTTTTTTTTTTTATATATCTACGTTTAAAACAAGTGACGTTCTGGTGATTATAATTATCATAATAAAACACTATAATTATAACTTTATTGCTCTTCGTGCTTTGGGGTAATCGAAATTACGGCTCACTCGGTATTAAGCGGCTACCGGAATCCACAACGTGATTGCCTCTAACCTTCTTGGGAAATTTCGAAGTCTCAGGTCGCCCCACCAGAAAATTGGCTACATGATGATAACAGGCATGAGTTCATCAAATAGGGAGGGACTATGGTGAACCTCTACTAATAGATTTTATTTCTTCACTGTGAAAGTCTTTTATGAGCACATATTATTTAGGAAAAAATGTATACGTGTCAGAGGATTTGAACTTGAGTATAGTCGAATAGCTAAATACGAGCACACTGTCTTAAACACACAAGACGGAATCTTCATATTGACTAACGTTGTCATAAATTGCAGTATACACGTTTATTTTAAATATACGCGTATAATTTGACACCTAAAAAACCATAAATAGCAAACCGAATTAACGATTTTTCTTCTTCTTTGTCTCCTAGGTGCAATGGCGGATCCAGGGGGAGGGTCATGGGGGTCATGACCACCCCCTGAGCTGGGTCCAGGACTTAGGTGGACCGCTAATTGAATATAATGATTTTATTTATATATTTTGTCACCATACAGATTTTATGTAACTTCATACCTTCAATATTTAATTAATTTAATATAATATAATAACTTTGTATAATGGCAAACGTTTGGGAACGAACGCATCTAAATTTGACTATGTGACCCCCTCCTGGCGCCAAAACTGGATCCGCCCTTGCCTAGGTGGGGTCGGAACAGTGAATTATTCTATGCCATTCTCGATACTGAGTCGGTGAAAATGGCGCTCAAATATTCCCTTACATACAAACAAACATACATATAAAGCAAGCGAATAAAAAATGTATTAAAAACACAGACACCACGGAGTTTAAATTAGTAGCAACAATTCTTAGTAGTAGAAAAGCATTCAGAACCGAAGGTAAAGTTATATGAGCATTTGTATGGGCACGTAAAGGCCTACTTTAGTAAAATTTTTGAATCTTGGTTGATTTTTAACTTTATACTAACACAATTATTTAATTCTGTAAAAGAGACTCTAAAACTAAGCCTACCAAACAATTATAATATTTATTTATCGAGTTTTTATAAAAAAAATTATTGATACTTATTAAAAATAAGTCTGAGATCCAATTAATCAATTAATAAATCCGGATATCACAGTCAAAACGATTAGTGATAGTAATTTAAGCTTGCTGTATAATTAATATGTTTGAATTAAGGATATCGAAACGATAAGATGTAATCAAACATTTTAATAGGACGCGGTGGGACTTTAAAGAGATTGTTCGATCCTTGATCTCATAGTTCGTATTACAACTATTCATTTTATACGCGTATATTAAAAAGTTTATAAAATAACCAAATATTTACATTAAGTTTTCCTGATCATGAAATAAATGACAAATACATATTCTATTTACAACATTATTTTATGTCAACCCAGGATTTCTTCATTCTTCATTTTTATGATTGAGTGGAATAAATCGCTATTAGTAATGAAATCGCGATTGTAATTAAATTTTATAACGTTTTTTGTACTATACAGCGTACTGTCACTTAATTCAATTTTAATTTAATAATAGGAAATTTACATAACATACGCGTATTTTTGTAATTACTAATGATAGGACGTTCTGAACCAGTTGGACTCTAACTTTTTTTTTTTTTGTGATTGAAGAATTACTGGTGGCCCGGAGGCCTTTCCAGTTTCACCAGGACAGGTGGGCGAGCAAAGGCTCAGCCAGGAGGGGTGGGATTTGCTAACAGCTACCCGAGCGCTTCCGAAGGAGACCTAACAGCTCAAGAGCAGCTGCTTCGCGAATGAATCTACTACCGGATCAGAATCGCGACCCGCTGAGAAGATCCGGCGAGAAACTCAGGGAGCTGATTCATGGGTTAGGTTGCACGGCGAACTCTTTGTCGAGTTCGACGAGTACGGTTACCGGGGTCCCTAAGCCTGCTCCTAGTGTTAGAGCTGAAGGCGTCTAATGCAAAGGTTATTGGATCTGATGGATCCGTAAGGACGTGTCTAGGGCTGGACTCTAACTATTAACTAACACGGTCTTGACGATTTCTGGCCCAAAGAAAATGCGTTTCCCTTTGACTATATAAGGTTAGCGAGTATTTCACTGTAAATACGATATCAACTATGATGTTTGAAGCTTCAAAATGTTTTAGATGAACAGCAAAGCTTACATTACCTATATGTTTTTTTTTATTGCTTAGATGGATGGACGAGCTCACAGCCCACCTGGTGTTAAGTGGTTACTGGAGCCAATAGATATCTACAACGTAAATGCGCCATCCATCTTGCGATATAAGCTCTAAGGTCTCAAGTACAGTTACAACGGCTGCCCCACCCTTCAAACCGAAACGCATTCCTGCTTCACGACTTAAATAGGCAGGGCGGTGGTACCTACCCGTGCTGACTCACAAGAGGTCCTACCACCAGTATTACAGTAAGCGTTTATTATTATACGGACTATAAACTATTCTGAACTTAATCGCCATTACGATACTAAGAAAAAAAAAACCTTTCAATTACTATTGTGGAGTTGATTTTTTGTGCTCCTCGCCGTCACAAATTTCATTTAGAACAAGATAAGACAAAGCCAAAAAGCCTTACAATCGAAACGAGTTTTTTTTTTGTTTGTTTTTTTTTTTTTTGTAAATGCGTCGAAGCCTCGTGTTCAGTAAGGTTTCTTGCGGTCGCCTCGGCTCGTTGAGTTTCCTTCGACATCACTTACTTTGTACTCGGCCCTTAGCTGCTTACCGTAAACGACTTAAGTTTCAAGATTTATGTAACCGTTGCTATTGATTTTGTTTGAAAACGATTCGTCTAATGCTGTTGTTGTTGTTGTTTGAAGTACGAAATTGGAATACACATAAATATTCGGACTGCGGTACCAACTGAAAATGAACTGTCTTGCTTTTGTTTTGAGTTGATTTTATTTCGTTCTATTGATATTATTTGAACGAGTTTCAAAATGTATTTTTTCAGTTATATAAATTTGAACAAACTTCGTTGAGTGTTGAGGTATTCACCTATTATTTGACATTCTATACAAATTTACATACATAGTGTTTTTTTTTTTTTTTTTTTAAATATTAGATTCCTACAAGTAGATCGGTAGCGGCATCATAAACCATAATTTGACATTAATTTAATATCATATTATGAGCGCTCTGCTTTTCATATAAATTACATATACCTTCTTAAAAACATGATCTAAACATATAACATGAAAAAAAATGCTTGAATCGAATACTGATCAAACTTAATCTTAAATAATACCGCATTAAGCCAGAAACAAACTCACCGCTAAATATGTTTTAAAAACGATACGAAAAGGATATAAATATAACGTATAAAGCGTAAGGAATTAGTGCAGCGATGTGTGAGAGCGGCCGCGGTTGTGGTTTGCCACCCGTGCACGAACTGCCCTCGACGGAAAATATTACGTTGTATACACACACATCTAGATCAGTTATATCAATACTACGCGTAACATTGGGGTCGATGATAAGTTTTGAAGATTAAAAAAATTTACGATCAGATTTTTTTTATTGCTTAGATCGGTGGACGAGCTCACTGCCCACCTGGTGTTAAGTGGTTATTGGAGCCCATGGACATCTATAGCGGCTGCCCCATCCTTCAAACCGAAACGCTTTACTGCTTCACGGCAGAAATAGGCAGGGCGATGGTACCTACCCGTGCGGACTCACAAGAGGTCCTACCACCATTAAAATTTCTTTTCTTTAAAGAGTTTCTTTTTTCTTCTTCCATAATTTCTTTTCTTTAAAGAGTTTCTTTTTTTCTTTTTCCACAAACAGGTGAACGTGCTAGCGGCTTACCTGGTGTTAAGTGGCTTACAACGGCTGCTCCACAGGCAGAAATAATTCAATTCCAATATTTATATCCAATAGTATATATTTCCAATTTTTATATATTCCATTAGAAAGCTCGCCGATATTTCATACGCACTTCAAAATTGTTATAGTTACCCTAACTCTGCATTAATTATGGGTCTATTTTCTCTCTAATAGTCTATTTTCATTCATTCTCTTAGAAATATTAAATAAAGATTGATTCATGAAAGCATCCTCGAGGGCTAGGTTAATAACATCCAGGAGTAATTAACGTATGACTGCTTCGCGCCAGAAATAAGCAGTATAATGATACTTACCTCGTGCCGTTTAAAATAAAACTTTGCCACCAGCAAATAAAAAATATTAGATCATAAGTACGAAACAAAATTTGGAATATATAATTGGGAAACAAATTTATAAGTAATTTATAACGAATTAAATGCTTATCTGCCGTACGAAGTATTTTTTGTCTGAATAAATATGTAGCCTTGCATACGAAGTCGTTATAGGTGCTGCTAATTCTATATAATAGTCGTTTAAGAGTTTGAAAAATTAATGAATATAAAAAATGAATGACGTAAATGCTACTTAAATTATTTAATAATGAATGATGTATATATATGCTACTTTATTTATTTATTTATTGCCCTTGTAGGCAGACGAGCATACGGCCCACTTGATGGTGAGTGGTTACCGTCGCCCATGGACTTCAGCAAAGCCAGGGGCAGAGCCAAACCGCTGCCTACAAGCTGCTACTGAAATTATGTAATACAAATAACAATTAAGATGAAATAAAATTGAGTTTAAAAACTTCAACCTTAGTTGTTTTTGTTAGTGTTGTTTTTGTTAATAATTCAAAAAGATTCGTAATGGGTAGGTTGGATCTAT